TTTGTGACATCAGTGTTTCGGAAGCCGACGTTTTCAGGACTTTATACGCGGTGGGACATTTTGTCCTAAGAAACGCAAAATAAATCTGATCAGGACCCTGGACCCATAGGGCCTTGATGATTTTGCAGTGATGAGTTTTGATGAAGAATCAATTTTATCCGCCATATTCTTTCACGTAATGGATATCCTAATGATATTCTTGATATGGTTATGCGGGATAAAATCAATAATTCCGTAAGAAGGAAAAACAATACAGTGTCAGAAGTGCCCTGTTTATCTACGGCTACCATTTATTGGGTCTCAAAGGTGAGCTGTTGGCTAAGCGTATCTCGTCAGCCGTCCATGACTGTTTTTCTCAGCTCAATTAATTGTTCATTTTGCGACTCGGTCTGCCTTTCCCTCTATGCGCAAGGATACTCTTTCCCCCCCATCATGTTTCTTCTGTGATTTATTTTTAAATGTGTTTGCGGTAGCAATTACATAGGAAGGACTTCAGCGTCTGGATTGTAGGATCAGGCAGCATGTCCCATTACGAGTTCTCAATCCGGAAGCTAATACAAGTCAGTTGGTTAACACTTGGTTCAGCGATTCTGAGGCACCTAATAAATAGCAGGAATTGTGCGAAGAACTTTAGTCCGAATTGGTTCACTGTTCTGTCCAGTTCGCACTCTCTATTCCATTTAAAGGCACTTGAGTCTCTATATATTCGGTCTAAGGGAGCCATCTTTGTGTAAGCAAAAAGACTGTCTCCTGGACTTCATATCATTATCCTCTAGTGTGCTTCCCAAATTTTCCCTCACACTCTGTTATATATACATATAATAATTATTTTATTAGATTTTTTTTTTCTTTTTTTTTTTTCTTCTTGTTTATTGTGTATTTTTGCACAGTTTAAAAAAAACATAAAAGAAAGGAAAAGAAGGAAAGAAGGAAAGTATATATGTTATAAGTTAAAAAAAATAAAAAATTATTTGTTCTTTATTCATGTCCCCCTCCATACCATTGATCTTTCATTTTAGTTTTAATTGTATGTAGGTTGTATGTGTGACTTATTTATTCTGTAGATTGAGAAATAGTTCTAGTTGACCCTGATGAGCTTGGGAACGAAACCGGTTGGTCTGTTTGTTTGTGAGAGTTATCATCTCTTATTTCTTATATTATTTTCATAATGCCGTTAAGAAAACAACCATATTACTTTTTCTCCTTTTACGATATATATATATATATATATATATATATATATATATACAAGATGTATGTACTTAAACATATTTGTTTCTATATTATATGCATATAGATATTCCACTAGTTTTCGTTATATCATATTTTTATATTTATGATATTGTGTGTGTGTATGTGCGTATGAGGTGTATCACTGCTTGTTTGTCATATTCTTTCACACCTATGAATTTCTGTCTATACATATATGTATGCCTAACTTGGTTTAATATTTTCTTAATATTGAAATAATTAATATTTTATTAATCTTTGAATGAGTATGTTTACGTCACCAACGCATACACTTACACGCCCCGCACACACACACACACACACACACACACACACACACACATATATATATATATATATATGCATATATATATATATATATATATATATATATATATATATGATGCTATCTATGATTCTATTTAATGCAATGCAATTTAATATACAATTGAAATTTTTCCCCCAAGGCTACAACATCCTGTTGAGAAATGAAGATCCTGATGAAAGAATTTTGATTAAATATAAAATATCCCAAAACAAATATTAAAATAACTTATTATAAAAATTCTTACCATTAGACTGGTGTCGAATAATTCGTACGATTAGACTGGTGTCGAATAATTCCTTATGTTGCCATAACGATTAAATATCTCATAAAAGAATCTTCCACCATGTATATTTGGGAAACATTTCATCTTCGAGTAGCAGTTAAATAACTTTACCAGAATTAATGAAATCTCTGCGACAATTTTTTAGGAGCAATCACACGAATATTATCCAGGCGACTAGTTTAGGATTTTTGATGACTAAGGAAACTTCCTTAGCTGTGATAGAAGTATGAAAAATGTTGTACTCCGTGTGAGGGGAGATGTCAGGGAGAGGATGACCCTTGTCGTTCAATCTACAGATAAGTTTATTGCAAAGAGCTTATTGCTAACCGATTTGGATGAGATAATCTCACGGCCACTTATAATAAAATGTATTGAAGGTTTACCTCGATTCAATATTACATGTCACGATATCAGTTGATAGATAGATATGTGTACAGACTGAGACAAGCAGGCACACATACATACATACCCATATATATACATATATATATATATAGTTCAGGTAAGAGATCCGTTGGTATATAATCCAGGTGGATCCTAGTAATATCAGATATTAAAACTGATTCATAGAGGGTTCAATGTATTTATTATAAGAGAGTATATATTTTATATAGCAAAAAATCTAAAATAATCTCATGTGGGTATAGCGTATTTCCCTCTATACCTGCTATGTACCAGCTATCCTCAGCTAGTGAGTCTTGGGCTAAGAATAGCTGACTCATATCAGTGCTAGTTTGAAATAGAATATACCCACATGAGGTAATTTTTTATTTTTTTTGCTGTTATATATATGTATATATATATATATATATATATATTAGCGCATGCCTGCATTTAAGTAGGAAGATATGGAAAATACACGCAGCAGAGGTGAGGATGTAACCCTCTTATGTCAGCTGTGTACATTTTCGCATATCTTTCTTTTCGTCTTTATTTCTGACAACGCGTTCCTTCTCACGAAGTGTTGGCTGAAAGGATTCCTTGAGGTAAAACGCCTCAATATCTAAAAATGTATTGATGTTTTTTTGGCATCTTCTGTTTATTCAAATATATACATACTACATACATACATACATATACATACATATATATATATATATATATATATATAAATATATATATATAATGTGGATGAACATAAAAATCTGGTTTCACAATTTTCACAGCTCATTTGCATGCCAGGAAAAAATTTATACCCCGAGTCATCGGCGAAACGGCAGAGATGAATGATGAATTGTAGTGTATTGTTTTTGTGTAAACAAAAGTTAGACAGCCAGAGTGCCTAGGGATTAATGAAGACGATGTGTTAGCGCATGGCAGTTGCTGTTTATAGAATGAGCAGATCAACAGTGCTCAACCGGGAAAGATTTTGAGAGCGTTATAATGTCAAAGACATAAATCCTGTTTGCCTGTATCACGGCTCATCTGTGGTGACTAGACAACCGAATTATATGATGGCCAGGATCGAAACCCGACTGATTGTCAGTCGGAGGTTTTACCCCAGCCATCGGCGTTTCCGGACAGAGAGAAAAGACGAATATAGTTTATAATTTTTATAAATAAAACAAACGCTAGACAGCCAGATATTTCTATCTATTAATGAAGTGCGAAACATAAAAAGGTAAAATAATATATATATATATATATATATATATATATATATACATATATATATACATACATATATATATATATAGAGAGAGAGAGAGATATAGGGAGAGAGAGAGACATACGTGTGTTTGATAGATATATAGTACTACGATATGTCTATTTCTGTTTTATATTGATCCTTTCCATATATTTAATCATATTTTGATGTACATATGAAATTCATATATACAACCAAATACTTTCGATCATTTCCAATATCATCGTCAGGTGTAAATTAAAAAGACAAAATTATTTTAACGGCGTTGAAATCTGCATTCTTTTGAGATCGTTATTTTTAAGTATACTTTACCACAAAAATAATAAACCGAAACTACATAATTTCGATACATATATGGCATCAAAATCATACCAACCAACATCAACAAATTTACGTCGAGTGTATACAAACATGTTATCTCATATACATACACAATACATCTTCCATACATACCAAGTTCTGTCATATACCTTATACATAAAACGCTTGTTTCATAAATGATTTATATATATATACGGATAATTTTCAAATTTTAAAAAAGTTACAGAGCGAGTTCGCCTGTGTTTTTAAAAATCAGCATCACAACGGAATGCAGATTTTATCGCAGTTCCAATCAGTTTTTCCTTGTAATTTCACCCTGAAGATGACCTTAAAAGACATCGAAGCGCTTTAGGTAAAAAAAAAAACAAATTATGGCACCTTCCTTGATGAATTTCATTTCAACATCAAGAAACTGATTAGACAATTGAAAGGAGAAAGCATAAATATATCTATATTATTCAATGAAACATCTTTGAATGAAGACATGCTGCCTAATTACACATAGACTCACAAGCACAAAAGAGTCCAATTGGCCCTTAAGGAACTGCATTCCTGATCAAACCGAATTCATAAATAATTACATCGGTCACCCGACTACGTGCCTATTCAGATGCTTTACGTTACATATATCTGACCATAGCTCTATTAGAACCCATTTAAACACACATAGAAACTTACCAGACTCCATCCGAAACATACTAGTAGAAAACACAAACATAATAACCTCATCCACTTGTAAAAAATGATTAAAATTAATGGAAGCCCTCTTAATAAAAACGAAAAAAGACAGCACTTAACAATAATTAACTATGAACACGGCCACAATGTACAAACTGTGTTCGGAAAATAAAACATCGCTATAACACCAAAAACATACACACAACGCACAAACTTAATTAAACTGAAAAAATAAAATCATCGTTGATAATGGCTAAAAGAATAGCCAAAAGCGCTTGGAATTATAGAACATTTGGACAGTTTCTACAAACTCTGTATCCAAAAAAATAAAAGCATTCGTTCGAACACAAGAAAAATTGAATAAATCCTAGTACCTGTCTGTCGTTTTTAAAGAAACATGCATAAAGGTAGGATATATGTACATACATATAAATATATATATATATATATATATATATATATATATATATATATATATATATATATAGAGAGAGAGAGAGAGAGAGAGAAATTCATAGAGACAGATAATGTCGGGGATGAGATGGGATGGGATGGGATGGGATAGATAGATAGATAGATAGATAGATAGATAGATAGATAGATATGATATGATAGTCTGTACGACTGAGAATAACAGGCAGCTAGAGAAATATGGTCAGACTGAGACAGATAGATAGATATATACATACATAGACAGATAGATATGAACAGATTTAGAAAGACATTTAATAATGTAAATAAACAGAAGATGGATAAAGACAGAAGTGAAATGTTGTTTAGCTGATAAATGAAAAAGTTGAGACTTATGTTAACCTGAGTTGCACATTTTGCGGAAAAGTCTCTCAGCAGATATCGAATTCGTCGCTTTTAATCCCCATTAAAGACATACAGAACATTTGCATTTATTCCCTTATTCGATAAAAAAAAAACTTTTCATTTGAATCAGCATTTAATGGAGATTAAATTCGTTAAGACACCAGGAAAAGAAATAAAGTGCTGTCAAATGTTTCACCTGAGAAAACAGACTTTAACACAAAAAGAGAATAAAGATACATATGGTTCTTTCCCGCATCAATTAAATTTTGTTTTCGAAGCCCGAGAAACTTCAAATCATACAATTAAGAGATGATTTAATTTGAAAACCTAATGATAAAAGTTTGAAAGAAGTTTGTCAAAATGCGATGAGAATAAAGGAACTTGATAGATAGATAGATAGATAGATAGATAGATAGATAGATAATATACCAAGATAGATAGATAGATAGATAGATAGATAGATAGATAGATAGATAGATTGTAATATACCAATATAGATAGATAGATAGATAGATAGATAGATAGATAGATAGTAATATATCAATATAGATAGATAGATATGAATAAACCTATATAGATAGCTAGATATGAATAAATGTAGATATATATAAGATAGATAGATAGATAGATAGACAGATTGTAATATACCAAGATAGATAGATAGATTGTAATATACAAATATAGATAGATAGATATGAATAGACCTATATAGATAGCTAGATATGAATAAATGTAGATATATATAATAGATAGATAGATAGATAGATAGATAGATAGATAGACAGACAGACAGACAGATTGTAATATACCAAGATAGATAGATAGATAGATAGATTGTAATATACAAATATAGATAGATAGATATGAACAAACCTATATAGATAGCTAGATATGAATAAATGTAGATATATATAATAGATAGATAGATAGATAGATAGATAGATAGATAGATAGTCTTGTTGATAGAGTGTGAGAAGAAATAAAAATAAAGACTTGAGAAGGAAGATAAAAAAAATGAATAGAATGGAAAACAACAATTAGCGAAATGAACAAAATCATTTCCTGGCAGTTAATTAATTGAATATTCCCGAGATCAAAGGTACTGCCGCCTTTCGTATAAACACTTTTCCGGTACAAAATTAAAAGGCACAAGAATTACGAAAAAGTATTCAGCAAAATTTCGACGACACTTCTTTCATTATTTACTTGAAATATTGAAAATAAACTTTTACATACGCACCTGCGCACAATCCCCAAATTTACAGACTCAGACATACACACAAAGACATACACACAAACATACATATATATATATATATATATATATATATATATATATGTGTGTGTGTGTGTGTGTGTGTGTGTGTGTGTTAGTTTCCACTGTTATATTCATCTATATAAATATATATAAATAATTTTCAAATTACATTGATATATATAATATATATATATATATATATATATATATATATATATATATATATATACTTTTGAAAAATCAGGAGATCATTTAAATCCGCTACCTTTGTTAGAACCTTACGGTATCCTCAGGCGAATTTTATCAAATGACCTCCTAACGCTTTATTTAAAAAAAAAAAAAAAAACTAATGAACGTTATTTTTTTTAATAAACAAACCCACGAATTTGGGTGTAATAGAAAGAGAGGAAGGGGATGTAAAAAAGGAAAGAGAAAAAGAAGAGAAAAGAGAAGAAAAGAAAAGCAAGGTTATTATAAAAGGATTGATGGAGGCGAGTTGAAATGTATATATGTAATATATTGAAATGTATATTTGTTTTTTATATCCAGCCTTATATCTGCGTAAGAGGAATTTCTTAATATCTACGCAAGGACTCAAGACTTCGGAATTTTTTTTAGTTCAACACGTTCCTTGCGTCCGGAAATGTGATTATTGCTAATTTTTCCTGTTAGCAGTGGTTGTAGATATTGTTGTAGTTATTTGCCATTTTTCAAATTTTCTAGCTCACAACTGAATCCCTACTGTTTACCTTTCAATTCTACACATGGTTAGCTAGCCTGGTAGAGCATCTAAGACCATACTAGCTTAAATATCGACCTATGATTGTACTATCTACGTTACAAAGTACCTTCCCTACATCCTATGCATGTTTTATTTTGGCCATTAATATCCGTTACTTCTGTTTTATAGATTATAGCTTTTGTTTTACAAGCTCCATTTAATGGACATCTACTCTCATTTCTGCAGTTGCATAAATTACTAGTGTTAACTATAATTTCGTGTGCGTTAGTGTTGAGATTTCTGGCGTTTTGTCTATTTATTTTTGTTTCTAAATTTCTAGTGCAGATGTAGCTTAATTTAGCTGTGTTTTTATTGAATATTTTATATAATTCTGAATTTTGGGGTAGTGTTTAGTAGGTAACTTGAAAAATAATGTCCCTATTAAAAGGGGATTTAAACCAAATGATATATATTCTTTTCCTCGAATTACTCTTCATATGATGTTTAATTTGAGGTTTAAATTCTAGTTTAGTTTTGTGACCCGCTGCCTTTAAGTTCTTCTCATATTCTTGTTTTTTTATCTTCAAAAATTATTTTATTTCGCTAGTTGGTTATGTATGTTATATATATATATATATATATATATATATATATATATATATATATATATATATATATATTCAGAACCTCGAGGTGGAATAATGGCTAGCAAACTTGTCTCGCTAGAACAATTACGACTGAGTAGTGAGTTCCACTGGGTGCCTCTTAGTTTCAGCCTTGTGCCTCAATCCAAGCTACGCTATATGAAAATCATATATCGGTCAACTTGTCGTAGTTTAATGGTTAGCAAGCTTATCTCGCTAGATCAGTTACGACTGAAAAGTGAGTTCGATCCTCACCAGATGCCCCATATTTAGACCGTGTGTCACATATTAGTAACGCTAGAAAAAACTATATATATATATATATATATATATATATATATATATATATATATATATATATAAAGAAAGAACAGTAAGATATATAACCCGGTGTTCTTATTGATATTTTTATTTTTACAAAAATAGCGCTCAATGTAAATTTACAGATTCTAAATTAACTGATTTAAAATATGTTTTTTTCTACACAGTAATAACCCTGTTTCATAAATGGAAGCTAAAAAGCTTGAATTTAATTTTGTAATTAAATTAAAAAACATTAGTTTCCATTTCATCCACAAGCGAGTTTTGGAGTATCTTATTTTTTTAAATTTACTGAATTTTAAAGGCACAGAAAAATTCATAATTCACTGTTTCCAAGGATACAGAGAGATCCAATCATTCAGACAAGGGGTGCTAGCATGTTCATTTTTATTAACTTTTGTTTTATTGTTACGTTCGAAAAATGGGTTATGTTTAGGTAGGGCAGCGATGCATTTTTCAACGAATTCTGTTTTTTTAAAAAAATCTTATTGCTAACGGCAAAAAATCTTACGGCATTTTTTTCTATTTTTAAATCTATAGCTTTACTAGCACGAAGTCACAAGTCATCTTGACCGAGAGCTTGAGTGTGCTGCCCTTGTTCAAGATTTTTTATCACGCTAGATAACATGCTCTCTCCCAGAAACTGGAACTAAGGTCTGCTTAGCATAGCTGCAGTATAAACCACAGTGAGCGTCTGAATTAGAGATTGGCTATTGTTTTAATTTATTTATATATATTTTGTCACTGTTATAGTAAGTTTGTCTTTGTACTTGTAATTTACCCCTGAGGATTATCCTGGAGAAGATCGGAAGATGTAGAAAAACTACATAGACTTCCTCGATAAATTTTATCTTAACATCAAGAAAATGATTATAGAACTGAAAAGGATAAGTATACATTATATAAACATCTTTGAATATATATATATATATATATATATATATATATATATATATATATATATATATATATAAGCCGCCAAAGGGATTACTGAGTATTCCGTACTATGATGCAAACTACTATTAAATAGAGAAGACAATAAAAGAACAAGAATTAAGAAGGCAATAAAATAACAATAAAATGTATGTTGTTTTTACAATAATGTTCATTCTGTACATGGACCAAGTGCAACTGTAGGTAGAGGGTTACAAAATAAGAAGTAAAGTGCACAGTTTATGAGGATATGTGAGGAAGATAACGAATAACCATAGAATTAAACAGGGAATATTCTAGTCGGTTCTACAAAATAGCAGTTCGTGAGAAGCTGTTCGAGTGGAACTTACATCTAGTGGAACTAAGGAATGTAGTTCATCTGAACAACTTCCATGAAAGTAGCAGCGGAACAGCGGAAGGCTTTCACCATTTCGACAGTGGGAAAGTGGTTGTATGGTGGAAAATAAGTCATTACCCACAAGGCCGCGTAGACACATTTAAATTTTGATCAAGACAAGCAAGTGAGGACTGGTAATTCCTGCCCAGACATGGCAGCAATATTCTATTTTTGCTCTGATCTCGCTTTTATAAAGTGTATAACATTGGGCCGGTGCAATGATCCAACCATTTTCCCAGCATCTCAAGTAATAGATTGTATATACGAGTTCCATTTAAGTTCTGTGGTTAACTTCAGTGTCCGTAAGAGGGATGGTAGGATGGAAAATAATTCTTTACCCACAAGATCGCCTAGACGCTTTTGATCTCTATCGAGACCTGAAAGTGAGGATATGGCACCTCATGCCCAAATATAACAACAAA